GTACTCCACATGTTGATGTGGAGACACATAATATTGTAGAAAGTCTAGTAATATCTGCTAGTGCTAGGACACAAAGAAATGAAAATACTGATGATAAACAGAATAAAATTAATAAAATGCAAACAGATGCTAGCCATGCTGAGGTGATGATTGGTAAGCAGCAGATGGCTTTAGACACAGATCACTGTAATGTAACTGCTAGCTGCTCTGGAAGTGGACATGTCCATAGTGGCAGCAGGATATGGAAGCCTGTGCATTTCTGTCCTGGTGAGGATAAATCCTGCCATATTCAGATTCAGAATGGTGGCAAAAATGGGAGCGAAAAGCCCAATGGAATATTGTTACAAGCTGGAGCCCTGCAGAAAGCCAACAGTCATCCTAAGGATTTTCTGAAAGACTCTCTAGTAAAATCCAGAGGTGTTCGCAATGCAGATGGTGTTCAGAATGGTCCATCCTCTGATCTGTTTTCTGACTCTAGAGACTTTGAAGACAGCTTCCGGTTGGACACTCAAACTGAGATGATAATAGAACAGGAGGGAGCAGCTGGAATCACAGGACAGCAGGGAATACAAGGTTCAGAGCTGGCAGCAATACCATGGCAGGAAATCTCCAAGAAACTAAGCACTTCACGGACTGAGAATGCTACTGATGAAAGGGTGGCTGCAACAGTTAGTAAACCGGGCTTATCAAGTCTTATCACAACAAACACCACCACAAAAAACACAGCTCAGCACTGCAGTAATAAAGTTTTGGAGTCGGGAGGCCTTAGTTTACAGCCCGTAGCAAAGGAAATAGAATCTGCACCTTGCCTTAAACAAAGCGATTTCTCAGTGACGGACTCCCAGCTACGCAGTTTTCTACAAGATTACCAGACACAAAATTCAGTGAAAGGGGAGAGTGTGTCTAAAGACCTTAATAAAGCAACCTCCCCTCTTGGTAGGGAGCACATTGTACAAGTAGAATGCCGCTCTGTCCCTGAAACAAGCCTGAATATGAGTGATAGCTTGCTGTTTGATGATAGCTTCAGTAATGGCAGCGACCTTTCAGCTGTTCACATCACAGAAGCTGACAGAAAGGATCCTGTGGAGAAGCAAGAGGCTTTGCTTCCTCCAGATGGTCTTTTGCAGAATCTAAGACCTGTTCAGAATAAATTTGATGTCAGTGGCAATCAGAAAGAGCATGAGGATCCTATGCAGTGTAATGATGTGTCTCTAGCATTTTGTGATCTAATAGCTGAAGTTTTAGATCATGCAAATTCCCCGTCTTTTCTGGAAGATATTCCTTCTACATTTCATGGTCAGCCAGGATTAAGAAACCCAGTCATTTGTAACAATGACTCCAGACCAAAAGAATTATTAGGAGATCAAGGTGAAAAGCTCCAGAGAAGCCAGCAAGCTTTAGACAAGAAAACCCACCCAGTGGTGTGGACTGAACACTTGTTTGAACTAAGCCCAGGATTGCAGGATGTACTAGACAAATGGCCTAGTCCCTCAGGCATTGAACCAATTTCAGTAAGCTCCTGTTTGAAAGGAAAGTTAGTTGCTCCTATTGTTAATCAAGAGCCAGATCCAGTTTTTGAATCTGACTGTTGTCAGCCAGAGCCTTTGCCCACTTGCCAGGATTTAAAAAGCTCTTTCAAAGTTGAAGAAAACAAAACGGAAAACTTGGATCTTCAGAAAACAGACTGCATGATACTTCCACTCAAGGGAAGCAACAGAACATCCTGTCCTCCACCAGATAGTAATAATGGGTTTATTCCTCCAACACCCCCCAAAGAGCTTTTTCCAAAGAGTTCTGTTTCTCTCTCTGTGAAATCTGCAAGGGAGAGACAAGTTGCCTGCGTGAACGAAGGGCAGCTGATTCAGCCACAGCAGAATAGCGAGGGCAATGCAGAGCAGCAGGTAAAAACACTCCAGGTCAATCTTGGGAGTGTAGACCCAACTGAGACTGATGAGGTAAAAGATGATTCCACTATAGACCGAGGCTTTTCACTGCAGCTATCTCAGGATGTTTTCCCACTTGTTCCCTTAAGTGCTGAAAGTTTCACTATTATTGATGTAGCAAGCGACAAAGCACTTTTCCAGACTTTTGTTGCAGAATGGAAGGAGAAAAGCAGATTCTCCATCTCAGTGGCATGCGAAAGAACAAAATGTCTTTTGTCTCCCAAATCAGCGATTGGTGGCAAATTCAAAAAAGGTCAGTTCCGTGTTCCAGCGTGTTATTTTGTGAACAGCAGGGTGGCATCTTCAGCTTAAAGCAGGAGTGGAGAAGGAAAGGGTTTGCAGAAAAGGAGGAAAATTACTGATGCTAATTGAATGTTGTCAGTCTCAGTAAAGCAAAGGAGCTGGGTGGTAGTAGAGAATAGAGAATTGGTGTCAAGCATTTCATTGGTAGGTCGTTGGTGATAGTAATGAAGTGTTAGCAGCTTATTTGTATGTGAGAGCATCTAAATATTCTTAATGTTTCACTGTGTATCTAATTTTGAAATGGATCTGTGTTGTGCAGTCCCTTTATCATGTGTATCTTTCCATGTCATAAACAAGTTTTAGTATATTTTAAAATGAATAATATATTTAACAGTAAACTGTACAGATTGTTCAGGGTCTCCACTGAACAGTGTTACTTGTGGGATTGCCTCTAAACCAAGGTTAAGTATTTTTGAGTTTGCAAAGAGTAAACTTGGTTCAATATATGCATGTGTGAAATTCAGATCAGTCTCCAGATTGTTGCAATATTGCTTCATTTTTTTCCACAGAAGTATTCATATGCTGCAGTTTGCTGCTGCTGTATAAACATACTCTTCCTTTAAAATAACAAGATTAAGCAGAGTTAGATTCTTGGCTGCCATATTGCCACAACAACAACAACAAAATTTCTTAACTATCAAAATACATTATTGACAGACAAATGTGAAATGTTTTTCAGAGTTGAAGGAGGGAATACATTTCTGTCTCAACTCTTGGAAGAGATTGCTGGGAAAGGCCAGAGTTTTGCAGGGATGGTATATGGGTGGTTGTTTCTGTTAAGACAAAGTTTTGTTATTCTAAACGTGGTTTCCCCCCACAAAGAAACACAGATTTTTCTCCTTATAGATAAAAATTAAGTTAGATATTCACTTTTAAGAAATTTAGGCTCAACTGTATGTATTTACATTTTCAGGATCCAAACTCTTCCACATTTATGGATGTCATTTTATAATTGTAACTTAAAATTATTCCTTTAGTAAGTTCTCCTCAGGGGATGCAAGTTAAAGATGATGGATTTCCTGTCCAAGGCTGTGAAGACATCTTGGTAGTTGGACTGGCAGTATGCTGGGGTGGAAAAGATGCCTACTATATCTCTTTGCAGCAGATACAAGACCAGACTGGTAAGTGAGCGGACAGGCTGTGCTGTGTTACATGACACTGCATTTCAAGAAAGTGTCTTCAGCAGACAGGTTCTTGGAAGTGTTTTGAGTGTCCCAAACCCAGCTCAGTTGTGTGATGGAGTGATTTAGCCGTATTATTCAGCAGTCTTAAGCACTGAACACCCTTGAGCATGTTGCTGTGGATACATCTATGCTGCTATATAATAAGGCCAGGTCGTTGGCTCAAGCACTGGACTGCTGAGCATGCATATTGCTAAAATGTTAGCTTACTCGCATGTTCTCTTTAGCTTACTTGCTTTTCTCTTTCAACTTCTTTCAAGTTTTGCTCTCCAGAACAAATGACAGTTGAATGCTGAACATAACCCAGTCTGGGCTACGTGGGCTCGTGGCTAGGGTTTGATTCCTGGCTCTCCTTTGTTTAGTAGTACAGACACAGCCTTTTGGGAGCCTTGTCTGGTTTGATAAAATATATAATATTGGCACAGATTTATTGTTATTTGTTCACAGTCCAACAGTAGTTTTTGTGCTTTAGGTGATTGTATTAAAGATTTTTCTCTTGCCTTTCTTATCATGCAGTGAGTAAATAGATGATTTTTGCTTGTATTTCCTGTCTTAGAAATCAGTATGAGTTTGGCACCGCCACCTTTGGACAAAAATCTATCTGTAACAGAGAGACTGTATCATCTGCAGCTGTACCTGCAGAAGAAACCCGAACAGGAGCGCTCACTTGTCATGTATAACTTCATTCAGCACTACAAGACTCTGGTGATGGCTTGTGGCATCTCCTTGGAAGGAAGTTTTGAGGATCCAAAGGTTTGTAGTATTAAGAAATTTGGCTTGGGTAAAACTACTAGTTTAAACACACCAGTGGAAAGACAGGAGTACCTTCTGGTGCTTTCCTTCTGTTATTTAGATTTGAATACGCACACCTGTCAGGGGGTTTAGTGAAACTTTCTTCCACTGGGAAATATAGAACAGTATTTAGAGGAGACTTCTTTTGCTATGTGCATTCACGGTGCCTGCAAAAGAAGCAGACCAGGCTCAGTGATAGGTTAACATGTTAGTCTTTCATGCCTGATTACTTGGGTGGGGAGGATGAGTTTAAATCTCTCCCCCGTCCCAGTGGACAGGGCTGAACTCTTGTTTTGTTGCTATAAGAAGCCTGGGACTAAAATGTCAGAAGTTCTTCTGGTCAGATTATTGATTCTGAGAGCAGAAGGCTTTGTAAGCAAAAGATTTACCCGCTGTGTGTACGGACCACCTAGCTACCGCTATTTTCTGAAAACAAAAGAAAGTTTACATGTAATTTCAAAAGGTTCAGGTACCATTTGTAACTCAAATGGAACAGTAGAAAGAGGTAAAAGCACCTTCTTGTGCTTGTTAGGAAAAGCTCTAGATGCATAGAAATTTCTGGTGTTGATTTTTAAAGTATGCATCACACATGGGCTGAATAGCATCATGGCAATATTAAAGTCTGCAGGTAAGTAGCTAAGCTCTTCAACACAAGGACAAACTTAGCTTTTCATACGGATACATAGTTTTACAATAAAATCAAAGAGCAATAAAAGTAGAACCTTTCCCCGCACTGTTCCATGTATTAAATGGAGTCATACTCATATTTGTTCATTTTAGTGATGCAATGAATATATACATGCATACACACACATTCTCACCACCACCTCCCCCCACCCCCGTACATATACATGTGGTTTTTACCTTCTGCTTGCATGCCAGAGACAATGCAGAAACCTGTGTTTCATCCTATTTTGACACAAGAAATTGAAATATAGCTATAAGCGAAATTGCTTTGAAGACAGTGGGAGGTATGAGGCTTACAGAGAATAAAATTTGCCTTGCAGAATTCTTGGTACTAGTGCTGATGTGCAAAAAATAGGAGAGCTTAGCTTGACTAATATTCTAGATCAATAGCAAGTTCTGATTTTTACAAAGTCAGTTTTCAGATTAAACATGTTTTGATCCTGATTTTCATTTTTAACGCCCTTTGTGTTAGGTTTTAATAAATGAAAAAACCTGAGGACAACACTTTGAGATGTGTTTAGTTGACAGAGGGTAAGGTTTTCGAATGTGCAGAATTAACTTTGAGTGAGAATGAAACTTTTCAGTGACTTATGCCCTCTTGAAGGTTTTATCTGAAATCATGTAACTTTTCCAAAAATTATTCCAGTCTTCCTGCCAAATCAAGAAAATAATCTGCACTATAACCTTGCATTAACTCCCAGTTAAATATTTGCATTGTATTATGACTAAAACGGATAAAAGGTCTCATGGAGGTCTCCCTTTTTTAAGGTTGCGTGTTGGCTGCTTGATTCTGGCTCTAAGGAACGTACACTTCACAACATGGTGACTAACTTTCTCCCCAACGAGCTACCTCTACTGGAAGGGGTAGGCACCAGCCAAGGGGTGCAGAGCCTGGGGCTTAGTGCCAGCGGAGATCATTCTGGGCGGTACAGAGCAGCAATAGAGTCTGTGCTTATCTTCAATGTCATGAACCAACTCCATAATGAATTACAGAAGGAAAATCTGACAGGTAAAGAGAGCTCCTCCTCTTGGGGGCAAAGATGGAGTGTAAAGGTAGCTGTGTTACCACAGGCTGAATGATCAGTGGAGAAGAGAGGAGGTTTGGAAGTTCTTATCTAAGTATATTCTGTAGCAAATTGCTAATTTTTTAAAAGAAAAGAGGGAACTTCCCTTGGAAGTACCTCTGTTTTGTCAAAAAAATAAATTAAATTTTAAATTGAAATATAATTTCTATATCCCAAATATCCACCAGTTCCATTAGTTAAGGCAATAGCAGAGTCTATTTTAAGTATCTGAATCAAGCAGATCTTTACCTCCCAGGTGAGTACCCTAGCCATTCTGAGGGGGCCTCTGGGTGTCTCTGGTTTCTCATGAACATTTTCAAAAGCTTCATTGTCAGAAGCAATCCTCAAATGTTTTCTGAAGGAGCTTTCTTTCTCTTTGGCCTGCCCATGTAGCATTGTTTGCCACATGTGTGTTGTGTCCATGAAACTTGTGATCCCATAGTGAATGATCCAGTATGTTTGCACTAATATTTGCTGAGTGCTTGTCTCTTTTTAAAAACAAGCAAACAAAAAACCCCCCAAAAGCACATACCAATTGGTGAGCTTTGATTGTTTCCCCTAAATTGTATCCAAAGCCTAAGACTAAGGTCCAGTCTCACTGAAGTCTATTATTGCAAGTTTATTTATGATCACGGCAACTATAGAATGTTTTTAAAAGATGTGGGTGGTGGAATGAAAGTGTATCAAGTTAGAAAGCTTTACATAAAGCACGTCTGTGGTTTATAAAATGTTGATATACAAAGAGATGTGTATTTCTTAGAAAAAGAATTTACAGAAGTTGTTATTTTCTTAAATACTTTTGTGATAAAAAGTTCTGGAATACTTCTTATCATGAAATATTTCTTACTATGAAATACTGCAGAAACAAAAGTATTTAAATTAAATCTATATTAAAAGATTTCAGTGTGTCAGGACATTCAGGATTTTAAAAACTGAGGATTCCACAGTTGTTTTTTTATGAATCTGTTGATCTGCAGTTGATCTTCTTTTGATGATATAAAAGATTTTCTTGGGGTTTTTACTTACTACAGAAGTATTTTCTAAAGTGGAGATGCCCACCCATTATTGCTTGGCTCTGCTGGAGCTGAATGGCATTGGTTTTAGCACAACAGCATATGAAACCCAGAAACAGATCATGCTAGCTAAACTGAGCGAGATTGAGTCCAAGGCATATCAGCTGGCAGGCCACAGCTTCTCCTTGACCAGCCCTGATGACATTGCAGAGGTATGTGAGGGTTAGGGTGGGAGGGGGGGAACTCTCTCAGAAGATACCTTCAAGAGGCTTTTGCTTAGACTTAAGAAAAAACCTTCTTGGGCAGACTGTGTATGAAGAAAACGCAAATTGAAATCTGCTCAGAGTTGATTTGTCTTTACGCTCATTATGAGCTTGCTGCCTGCAAGGTGCTGTGTGTCTCATCCTTATTACTGATTGTTCCTATTTCCGCTAACTTCAGCAGAAATAAAGAAGATACCTTCAAGAGGCTTTTGCTTAGACTTAAGAAAAAACCTTCTTGGGCAGACTGTGTATGAAGAAAACGCAAATTGAAATCTGCTCAGAGTTGATTTGTCTTTACGCTCATTATGAGCTTGCTGCCTGCAAGGTGCTGTGTGTCTCATCCTTATTACTGATTGTTCCTATTTCCGCTAACTTCAGCAGAAATAAAGAAGATAGAAGTGGAAACAAGCATGTTGGAAATGAAAACCAAGTGGAAATAAGATGTTGTTTGTATAGGACCTTCGCTTCTCTTGGCGCATGAGATAATCTGCTAATTAAATGGCTTTTGGAATATTTTGGATGAATGCTTTGGGACTAGAGAAGCTTTTTTCCAATACCAGTATTCTGCACATGAGATGTGATGTGATATCGTAGTCTGAGTCTAAGAACAGTTGTACTGAATAAGTTGCACTGTTGCCCTTGTCCCTATACAGGCATGAAAGAGGAGGAAAGACTGCTTTAAAAGTTTTGAATCAACTACTGTCTGTTTTTAAGAACCTGTACAGAACTGATTTTTTTTTTAAAGCCTAAGAAACAGATTTGTATGTAAATTAGCAATACTTTTATTCCTGAAGAACTTTACTATATATTTTTTAATGTATGTTACATGGAATCATAGAAATAGATTTTAATTGCTGTGCATGCTTTTTTTCTCAATTATTTCTTCTCTATATATTGATTTCTTGCTGAGGGGCTATACTTTATATGGAAGTAGTCAAAATTTGCAAGCAGCCATCACTAAAAGAAGTTCCACAGAAATATTCCTCCTTTGTTGCAAGTGCAGAAGTTTTACTCGGTAACAGTAGTCTGAGTTAGAACTCCTAAAATAATGCTCAGCTCCAATTTCACTCTGCTTTCATGGAAAAGGGGAAGGAAAGTTTTTTCTGAAATGCTGTTCTCTGAACTACAGAAGCTTGTTTCTCATGTGGAAATTTTGTTAGGAATCATGTAAAGTATCTTGTATAGGTTAGTAGAGCTTTACACTTCTAATTTTGTGTCAGTAAAATTTTGTGCTACGTAAATGTGTGAGAGAAAAGCTTCTATTCCCTTCTGCCAGCTGTTCAACAGTGTATAATGCTACATAGAAACATAGAATGAAAAATGAAGAGCTGTGTTGTATCTGTCAACAAGTGAGCATATACGTCATTTTCCAGTTCTTGGCAATTTTTTACAAAAACTAATATTCTGGCTATTCTATAAAAGGTATTTGTGACCACCTCTTTCTATGTCATTCATGTTGCTCTGAAGCCTGCTCCCTGCTAACACTTCTTTTTTCATCAGTGTTCTCACTTTTAGTCATTTTAACATCATGTTTTATTACAGTTGACTGTCAGCAGTAACCTCACTTATTGGATGGAGTTAATTACCTTTTCTAAAAAACATACCTCTGAACTCAAACTTACAGTGTTTAGAAAATGAGATTTTAGATTGCGTTTTGTAGTTAATTAAAATGAGGAGGGATGACTTTGATAGCAGACATCTTTAATCAGCTTTTTAATTACCTGAAGCATTCGTACTGTCCTGTGGTTGGGACAAGCTGTTTAAGTGCCCAGTTGCTTTTTGTTTTCTCCTGGGAGTAGTATGCAGAAACTGATTTGAAATGCTGGCCTTTTTCAGGTTTTGTTCCTGGAGCTGAAGTTGCCACAAAATGGAGATGTGAAAGTTCAAGGGAACAAGAAAACTCTGGGTTACACCAGAAGAGCAACTGCTAAAGGAAACAGGATTAGGTTGAGCAAGCAGTTCAGTACGACCAAGGTACCGTAAAGTCTGGTTCTAGTCTGAAAGTGACTGTAAAAATAACTCCCTCTTCACACATCTGCTGCTTGGATACATTGGAGTTAGGTATGCTGACTTAAATGAAAGTAAATTTTAACTGCCTTTTGCTCCTCCAGTTACCACTGGAAATTCATACTGGATTCTGTCTTCTCTGTTAGCAGAGTTATTAATTCCTCCTATGCTCCTAAAGCCTGAGTGTAGTGAGGACATGACTATAAATAGCAGGCTTCAATGAGAATAAATCAGGCAGAATTTGATTTCCCAAACCGCATGTAAGACCAAAATAGCACAATAATTTTGTAAAGCCAATAGTAGAAGAATTTTTCAACGTCAGCTTGAAAGATACTTAAATACCATGGTGATTAAATACAATATTTTCTCTGTCTGGTACTACCATATCTGTATTTTGTGCTTCAGAGAATTTGTCTTCAGAATGGCTGATCTGATGGCTTTATCAAATTTAGTATATCAAAAGCTTGTATATATGTGAAGGCTATTGACATGTTTGCCAGTTGATAAATATTGTGGAGCTGCAGTAATACTAACTGCTGCAGGCTAATGGGTGCTCTTGCCAGACAAGTGATAATAGCAGATATATATGTTCCCTGTTTTCAGGGCTCATTAATCTGTGTTGTTTCCTTGGTTTCCCCTTCTTCAAGTGCAGTCAGTGCTTGGAAGACGAGTATTGATTTCCAGAACTCAAGTGGCAGTGAAGAAGTGAGTGTGGTGGTGGTGGCAGAGCAGGGAGCAAGAAGTAAAGTGAGGATTTCCTCCTTTTGTGATGTGGAGGGATGAGGCTGCAGCTGCCTGCTGCATACAAAAAAGTGTTATTTTGAGAAATGTTTGCATGCCACTGTCTTTTGAAGTTCTTGTTAGTCCCTTCATATTTCTGATTTAACTGAAAGGATTTAATTGCTAGTGATCAGCTTTGTCTTTCAAGGAGCATGGTCAAGGGCTTCATTTTATGTGTTCCTAGAGTACGGATAGGAGAGAGCAGGGAGAAAAATATGCAGAAAGATGGAGGAGGAGCATTAATGCTGGGCAAGAGGAGACAATGTAGGGGACCTATGGCAAGTGATGCTTTATTTGATCATTTCAGGTGATTTATTGGTTGGTGCAGACTAAGTGGTGATGAGGATGCAAAAGTCCAAAGAGAAGTGATTGCCTTCTTGTGTGTAATAAAACTGCAGCTGGGTCTCATGGCGCTTTGATTGCCCACGTGTAGGTGGTATAAATGGAGGGGATATCTGTTTAATTTTAAGGCAGTGACACTGAAAGCTCACTGTGGGTGAAGGAGTCACTTTTTCCTGCAGAACTGCAAAAATATTATTTATAAAGGTTTTAAGGCAGTTAATTATAGTTGTGCCCTTTTCTCCCTACAAGGATGTTTTGGAGAAATTAAAGACACTTCACCCATTGCCAGGCCTGATACTGGAATGGAGGAGGATCAACAATGCCATTACTAAAGTGGTGTTTCCACTACAGAGGGAAAAGCAATTGAATTCTGCACTGGGAATGGAAAGGATATATCCGGTGTCACAGACTCACACAGCTACAGGTAAAGAAATGCATGCAAAATCCTCACTTCTTACTGATTTTTTTTCTTGTGTGTGTGTAGCAGCTTTTCTATGGGGAAAAGATAGGAAATCAAGCCTGTGCTCTACTTCAACCAAATGAAAATACTGAAATACCTATTTCACATGAATCTGCCCTAAAAGTCTAGATGTATTAAAATAGCTTTTGTGTTCACCAAGCAGTATTATTCATTTCTTGCACATATTAGCATGTAAATCTCTGACCCTAAAACAGGTTCTGGATTTGGGAGTTTCTTATTATTGATACAGAAATTCTGCAGGGGAACCATCTCAAACCCATTCAACCCAAATTATTTTTCCTTTTCTTCAATTTTCTCAGTGGTTGTGTCCTGTCCCGCCCTCCTGCCCCTTGTTTTTTTGGAGATGCAGATGTGTGTTCAGCTGTGTTAAGTTAGAGAGACTCCTTTTGGACCCTTACTTAGTTCTGCCTTGTCTTCCTTCTCAGGTCGCATAACCTTCACAGAGCCAAATATCCAGAATGTGCCAAGAGATTTTGAGATTGAAATGCCAACTGTGGTTGAAGAAAGCCCACCCTCCCGAGCCCATGGAAATGTTAATTCTTGTGCTGTTTCTCGGGGCAGGTAGGAGGATCTTGGCAAACATTCTGCCTACGCTTCCGA